AAGTCTGTGATAAATGGTGTGATTATGGAGGTATCTCTCTGGAAAAACAGTGAATGTCCACTGCTGGCCTTCCAACATGAAGGCTAACTCTTCCTGACTTTCCTGTGCTATGTCAATAGAGAAGAAAGCATTAGCAAGGTCTACTGTATAATGATACATTCTCAGCTCATCACTGAGGGTGTCCAGAATGTCTGCTATAGAGGAGATGGCAGCATGCAAAGGGGGTATGACTTTGTTCAATTCCCTGTAGTCCACAGTCATATGCCAGGAGCTGACTGCTTTTTCACTGGCCACACTGGGGAATTTAAAGGACTCTGACTGGGCTTTATGATGCCCACCTTCTCCAACTCCTGTAAAGTTTCTCCAATTTCCTTGTGCCCCCATGCAATTTATACTGCTTAGTATAGTATTGTTCACCAGCTGAGGTACAGTCAGAGCTACAGATGAGTGTTTAGCATGTCCCCTCAGAACTGCCTTTACCACACGTACCCTCAGTCTGAACTTACCTGCAGTGGTCTCTAACCATAGGCCCTGCAGGATATCTACCCCAAAATATATTCAGGGATGGGAGAAATGTACACAGTATACTTCTTTGGGGGTAAATGCCCTATCCCCAATGAGATTTGGGCTTTCTTCACTCTAGTTGCCTTACCCCCATAACCATCTATCACAGCAGGGGTCCTGGGAAAACACTCAGGGTTGCCATGGATCAAAGAATACTCAGCTCCTGTGTCCAGCAGTGCCAAGACACATTGTATATTCACAGGGGACCAATGAATTGCTTATTCTACATGTGGCCTATGCTCCCCACCATGTTCCCCTAAGTGGGAACCTTGACCCCCCCCCTCAGTGGAACTGCAATGCCCAATCATTCTCCTGTGGGGGTGAGGGCTCAGGCAAATCCTGAGTACTGTCTCCTAAGAAGTTTTGTAGGGACACAGGCCAGGCATGAGGTCTTGACTCCAGTTTCCGTGCCTGGACTTCAGTGGCTGGAACTGTTGCTCTGGCTTTAATTGGTGCCAAGGTTGTAACAAAATTCTATTGGGCTGGCCATCAAGGTTTTCTTTCACTACCCCGGTTTTTATCAAATCAACCCACATCTGGGTCCTCGAGACCATCGCAGGGCCTTTTACACCTCTCTTTTCAGTCGTAGTCCTTATTTCCTTCTGTGCCCTTATTGTTTCAACCTCCCCCAGATCTGCTAAAGTATGAGTAGACTCAAGGGTTGTCCTATGTGGGGGCAAGAGTAGTCACTAGGGACCCAAAGAGAGATGTGGGAGCTGTATGCAGCACCATATTTCTCATTCCTACAGTGAACACTTCCTCATCAGGGCCCTGGGGGTCCATATAATAGATGATATTTTTCATACCCAATTCCTGCAGTACCTGTTGGAGCTCTGCATACATTTTCCAACTACTGGGTAAATATGGTAAATCATCCTGATTAGGCCAAACTACCCTGATAGCAGCTGTCAGCCATTCCAGGAGTGCCTGATTCCCTGAGGCATGATGGGCATTTTGCAACCATTGCCAGAGGGAAGGGTGAGTCATCAGGGAAGCCATTCTACTCATCTCAGTACCCAACATAACAATGTTTTCTACCCCAATATCTGAGAGACATAAAAGCCATGTGGACAGAGATTCCGATGGCTTCTGCCTATACTGGATACTCATGTCCACCAGCTCAAACTGGGTATAGGGGTGGAGCATGGAGTGCTCCATAACCTGGGGAGGAGGCAGCTCCTCTCCCTGAGAAGCCTGTAGTTGTTTCACTTTTATTTTATTAATTACAGCTGGGTGGGCCTTTAAAACAGAAGAAGATGGTTCCTCGGTGGTGACCTCCATAGCAAATTGTCCCATGGCCCCACCTTCTTCTCTTCTTCCCCCAGCTCCCCCTCCATCTCTGGGGCTGAAGGCGCCACTCTTTCCTCCCCTCCTCCATGGCCTCCCACGGTCTTATGTCTCTCTTCCTTAACAGCATCCTATAGGTTACGCCCAGCTCCTCCAAGCAATGCTGAAGTGTGTCTCTCTTCTGCCTAAGTCCCTCTCTCTCCTCACTAACCCTCTCAATAATCCTTTCTTTCTCCTGTATAACATTTTCCACTATCTCCATGAAAGGAGACCCTACAATGCCAGTCACTACATGACCCCTTAGGGTCTCCAAACAATTTTCCAACTCACAGAGGACTGATTTGCAGCTTCCGGTGTTTCCACCCTTCCCCAGTTCTAGGGAAGGCCCTACCCTAGACCAATTCCCCACGAGGGGCTCCCAAATTGGAAGTCCCACAGCTGGGGGGTAATAACAAGTGAAGCTGCACCCTCTGCTGCTTCATCCACTGGGGTCTCCCCACTATCCACAGGGTAGGTTCTGGGCATCTGTCCAACATCTCTAGGGGCAGCCCTCCCTTAGCTTGCACCCATTTTGACAGATTTCAGGTTCAGAGATCCTGCCAACTACCTCCAGATGTAACTCCAGGGAGAGGAAATCCTGGGGCAAAATACCTCTAAAACCAAAATCAATGAAAGGGAGAAATAAAGTCTAAAACCTGTTGATTGCTTACAAACTGAAGTCTGGGGCTTTCTCTTTCTGCTCCGGCAAAAATAAGCAAGACCTCCCCTTAACCTCTCAGGTTCAGATAAGCCCTTGGTTGCCCATGTAATTATTCACCGATATGGAGATGAACTACGTTTATCTACCCCTGAGGACCACCTGTTGATATGCAGATGCACTAAAGCTAGGTGATATAATTCTGGCAATATTAAAATTTTACCCATGTTATCCTAGGTCTGGTTAGAAGTTTTCAGAGACATAGTGATCAGAAACAAGATCCTGGCATTTTGGTCTTATGCCAAAAGACTGAATCAATAGCCCTTAGGCAGAAATGCTTAGGTTTTACTCTGGAACACTTCTTTCTAGTCCAGTCTTCCAGAAGCGACACTAGCTTAAAAGAATGCTTCATATTCTGCTGGTGATAACTATCTCAGATTCATGCAGCCCTCTCAATAGTAATTTACAGATCTTCTTCTATAAAATGAAATGGTTGGACTTGCTAACTGTTCCCCAATCTAAACCTCGCTAAAAATTTCTAAACTACGTAAGTTATATATCAGAATTTGAGAAGTAAAAAGAAAGAGGAGTGAAAGAGAAATTAAATATGAAAGTTTAGAGCCAAAGGCAGAGGAGCTGACGAAAATAAAATTTACAGATTTAGTTGTGTTAGGAAATACACCAAACACTTAGTATTTGTAGATAAGATAGTCATCACATTTTTAAAGATATAGGCTCATCATATGAAACCAGGTGCCAAGTACCATCTATCCTAGGTTGCATCTTCTAGCAAACAGGAGAATCTGATGGAATACAGTGTCTACAGAGTCTTCCTTCTAGGGGTCACGGGCTACAGAGGGAAAATAACTGTATAAGAAGCAAGGAATGAACCAATCTATTTTTACCAAAACATACTATTAAACATCAAACCAAGGGAAGGAGGAAACAAAGACCAATTCTATGACTATAAGAATCTTTCTATCTTTGTCATCTTCATATGTCTTCTTTTTCAAAAATATATTTTTTCTGCCCTGATTATGAATATGTAGAATGAATTATTTAGATAATTTGATATTAGGGGCAATATAGGATGGGGAAAACTTACTAGTTTATGTCTTACTTCATAGAAGATGAGAGTTAAGAAAAATTCTAAAGGACAGAGAGGCAGCATTGTCTTACAAACAGTAATTGCATGCTGAGTTCTTTGATCCCAGAGCCTATAAGCAGCAACAGTGACATATGTAAGTTTGAGAAACTGGTGCCAAGCAGCAAAAGGACCTACAAATACAGTATCTGAAAAGCTGAGATTTTAGTCCACCAGTTGAAAAATTATAATCTGTAAATTCTCTCCAGTTGTTTCTATGCTACTTTGTAAAATGTGTCTTCTCATCCAGTAATTTATAATCCTGTTGTTCTTGAGCCAAGTGAGTCTTCCAACTGGATGTTAAACTACCTTGATTCATTCCTGCCTTTTCAGAGATTTAGCAAGTGCCAGGGGCATTGTGAATAAAAGAATAAGTGCATGTAAATTGGTAACTTTGCCCTTCATCCTCCCATTTCTCTAATTTATGCAAATATTTCTTCCAACCCACGAAAACTGGTGTGACAGATTCCATCTCATGTTTAGCTCTCTGTTCTTTATGGTTTTCCTTTTAACACTTGTCTATTGACAGTCAGAACTCTTTTTGTTTTTCTTTTTCTGGTAGGGTGCTTTCTGAGCTTGAATTTGAATAAACCGTTCATACAGTGGGATAAATGAATGAATAGGCAATTTCATTTTAGAAGATGAGTCATTCATTGTAAAACAAAGAAAATGAGCCCTCTCACTGGTGGTGTTTGGTCAGAGTAGGAAGTAGGAAGACATAGGGCATTTTGGTAATGTAAGGAGAATATAGGGCCTCTGGAGTCAACATGTTTTTTACCCTGCAGATGGTCCTAATGCAGGTGAAGCAGTCCTCAGAGGGGCTCCCCCAGAGAGGGAGAATGTAAATGTGACCTTTTATGAGTATCTGAACCACCAAATTCATATTAGCCTCTCTCTTTCTGCTACAAAAGCTCTTTCTGCTTTGCCACAGCCCACCGAGCGCACTATGAGAGTTTCGCCAAAGCCTAACAGGTCAGTGTTCTGTAAATATGGGGATATTTTGTTTCAGATCTCCAATGACCCATAACCAGTTCCTATTATTAATAGTTCCACTAAGCTTCATCTTCAGTAAAAGCACCACATCTACACTTAAGGAAAGACTAGGCTGCAGAGTCCTGCTCTGAATTGTTTCCTGAGCTGCTTCATTATTTACTGACTTTCCTGAAATGCAAACAGCCAAAGTCTTATCAGCAAAGGCAGATCCCCTGAGCCTTTTATCATTCTGTCTGCAATTTCGAATATTTCCTCTATAACCAGACAGCATACGAAATGAAGCTAGACTCTTTAAAGGGAAATGAGGCAATTGGAATGTCAATTTTATTTAGTAATATACTGTAAAAACTTAAACAGCATATCCAACTGATTGACAAAATCCATCCAACTGTTAAGGACAAAACAAAACTATCTCAAGAGGTACAGTTATGCAGATCTTGGTTTTAGCTATAGGTAGATATTTAAAGAGACAGACAGAATATTGGAGCTGACTGCAACTGCAGAATTGTCCAACTGAAAAAATTCAGAGAGAGCAAGGGAGTTAGAAGCAAGGATATCATGTCATATTTTCTCTCTTCTTCTTCAATGAGCCTTTTAACTTCTTCCACAGGCTGTCTTTTCTCTTCAGTTTCTTTTCCATCAAGGATGGCATGGACTCCTTCTTGCGAATTTCCCTCACTAAACCATGAAAGGCATCATCAATACAGAATCTGAGGGCTGCAGAGGTCTCAAAAAAAGCACAGGCATATTCTCGGGCCAGACTCAAGCCTTCTTCTGTAGAGACCTAAGGAAAAGTAAATGATATTAAAAAGTGAGCAAGAGAGAGATGTTTAAATAAAAGAGTATGTCCTCTACCAGGGCTGTGGGCTTGTTACATTAAAAAAAAAAGATAAAATAGAATTTGTTTTAGGGGAAAATTCCTAGAATTTCTGAACTTGAAGGATAAATGAGAAATCAGAATCTCTGAAAGGGCAAATGATTCAAACTTACTTAAAGTGAACCTAGAAGTCAACTCTCCAGATTTCAAAAAAAAAGAAAAAATAACATAGAGCAGTCAAAAGTATGGCTTTAGATTAAAACTGTTTGGTTTCCAAGTTGCAGTACTCCTCTTTTTAGCTTTGCAAATTTAGGTTAAGTTTCTTAACCTTTGGACCTCAGTTTCTCATCTGTAACATAGGGTAACACCACCTACCTCAAAGACTCTTTGCTGGGGTTAAATGAGACCATCTTTAAAAGGTGCATTGAATGTGCTGAACACACAGGTAGAAAACTCTGTAAGTATTGTTATTAATTATAGTACAGAGTTTTCAGTTAAAAATAAGTCAGGATGAAGTTGTCATGAAACTTTAAAAACAATCTTCGGACCAAAGAAAACAAAAAGCACAGTACCATCATTATGAAAAATGAGCCTTTCTTTAGCTAAGCACTTCAGAGCATGCCTAGAGCTCTATGAGTCTTTTGGCACTTAACTTTGTTGTGGCTCATGTTATTGCAATGCATCCTCTAGAGATTATGACTGAGGTCAGGAACTGTATACCTTATTTATCATCCCTTTTGTGTGTACCACAGTCCCTGGTGCCTAAATCATTATTAGAGATATTAGAGGACATAAAAAGATGATTGATAAAAATAGCTAAGCTAATTAAGTATTAAGATGTAAACACAAATGATACACAAATATTTAAATAGTGGGTTATACGTCACTGAAGCTGGGTGTTAATAAGCCTGTTCAAAATGTAACATGCCCATTAAGCTCTGCTTCATTATTCACACTGGCTCTAAGAAAACAGGATTAAAGTTGCCTTTACTCAATATTTCTGACTACCTTTTTGCCCATTGTGGTCTATGTATGTTCTTAAAGTTACTCACATGTTTATATATTTACATGGTCACTTTTCCTGCCAAATGAAAGTAACAGTGAACTGGAGACTCCATCAGTCTGGAGCCCTGAGTAACTATGATGAGTAGAGCTCTCAGTTCACCCATGGTGGATATGTGGCATAACTAGAAAGAAACTTCTTTTAAGCTGCTGACCTTTTGGAATTGTTTCTAACCAGAACATAAATTCCATTTTCCTTACTGATACGCCATGCATCTTGTTACTAAATTGTTGAGCTGGCATATAAAAATAGGTCTATCTGATTCCAAAGCCAGGTCCTTTCTAGTCTGATAGGTTAACCTCTCCAAGGGCTAATAAACACACATGAGTACACAGAATGTCTGAATCCTCTTCAGGATTCCTGCTGGCAAACACACCAATCCTTTTAGAGCTCACTTTTGTCTTGTAGTAACTGAAGAAATACAGCTAAAAGCAACCAACTAAAGTGATTAACATTCTCTTACCAGTAATTGGACTAAGTCATTCATTTATTAAATAATTTGTCTGATTTCCAAGTAATCACAAGTGAGAATCTCACCCAACATTTTGATACTTATATAGCATGTGTAGCCATTTATTTTTCAGTTTCCTATAATAATTTTCCTACTCAGAAACCAATGATACATATTTTACATTTTTCTATAGCAACACTATATTTCTGAAACTGTTTTCTAGATTAATCACCTTTCATTAGGTTTTATGTGTACAAAAACAGCCTCAATATCTCTGTGGCTTGCAAAAATATTTATTTCTTGTTCCCACTGCCCATTCACAGATGAAGGGTAGACTACAGCAACTTAGCTTCATGATGTTGGTTGAGTTCTTGTTTGTCCCTTCTCTCTCTTATTCTGGGATACAGGCTGAAAGAGCACATCTTATCTGCAACATGATGTTTCCATGACAGAGAGCAGGTAGGCAGAAGACATGGATAACTGTAGCCATGTCTCAATGGTCAAAAGAGAAATGGAGAATCCTAAAGTCAATGAAGCAAGATGTATACACAGCTCACAATGAAGATGGTCAGGATGGGGAAAAAATAATTGTGAAAAAGTGATAATAATAATAATAATAGAATCTTCCAAAATAAGTTATATGTAAATGCAGTACACTTTCCGAATTAAAAAGACAAAGATTGCCCATATTTAGTAGATTCTTACATACTTTTGTGTTTCCCTTCTTTTCAATAAAGTGCCCTATTTTTTCTTATGTAAAACAAAGACAGATTTTGGACCATATTTTTCTTTAATTACTTACAATTATAATACCTTATGTGTGAGGATATAGAAAGAATGAAATTTGAATGGAAATTAATACAAAAAGAAAGTTGATGTACTGAAATATCAGACAAAATAGTTAAGATATTTACTAGAAATAAAGGGAGGTCTTTTATAATGACAAAAATCCTTCAGGAAGACATACTTATAAATTTGTATGTACTAAATACCATAGCCTCAGTTTGTATGAAAGAAAAGTTGACAGAACAAAAATCCAAAATTGAGAGATTTTAACATGTCTCCCTTAGCAATTGAGAGAATAAATAGGCAAAAAGTAAGGATATAGAATGTTTGAACAAAACAACATAGTTGATCTAATTTGTATACATAAGATGTACCCAACAACTGAAATAGCTACATTCTACTCTTCAAATGAACCTAAAACATTTATAAAAGTTGACTCCATGCTAAGCTTTAAAGCAAGTGTCAGACGTTGTAAAGAAACAAAGTCACAGTATATTCCTGAACAAATGGAATTAAGCTATGAATTAATTTTAAAAAAGAAGATAAGTAGGCAATCCCCAGATATTTTGGAGAAATATACTTCTAAATAGTCAATAGGTGAAAAAATATGTTACATGAAAATTAGGAAATATTTGGAACTCCAGTATAATGAAAATACAACTTATCACAACTTGTAGGATATCTTTGTTTAAAATGATGTATTTTACATGCAGATTTTAGAAAAATAGAAATACTCAAATTTAATGATCAAAGTAGCAACCTTGAAAAGTTAACAACAAAAAAAGCCCAGCAAATTAAACTCAAAGAAAGCTGAATGAAATAAATGATACAGAGAGAAATGAGTTAAATAGGAAACAACCATGCCGTAGACTAAATCGGAGTTTTTTGGTAAAGATGTTAAATTGTTAGAGCCCATGTAAGACAGATGAAAGGTGAAAATAAGAAGTTAAAAATAAACAATATCAGGAGTGACAAAGTGAACATCACTATAGATCCTACAAACACAAAAAAGAAAATTAGGGAATATTAGATTAGTGTCAATAAGTCTGGCCTGTTCAATGAAGGACAGGACAAATTCCTACCAAAACAAAATTTCCAAGGTTTACACAACTGTAAGTAGAGAATCTGCATTATCCTATACCTTAGACAAGGAATTAAGTATGTAATAAGACCTTTCCATGATTAACTCTCTATGACCAAAAGCCTTTTTTGGGTATATGTACCAAAGAATGTGCACAAAAATGTTCATATCAGTAGTATCAGTAAAAGCAAAAACTAAACCAAAAAAATGCCAAAAGCAACATAAATAGTAAGTGAATTTGATAAATAACCTGTGTATTGATACAGTGGAATACCATTCAAAGCAAATGATAAAATACTATTATATACATCTCAGATAAATCTTAGAAATGTTATAGTGGATAGTGAAAGAAACCAGATCTAAGAAACATTTTTAATAAACTTTTCATTTTGGTATTGTTTTAGGTTTACAGAAACGTGGGAAAGATAGCACAGATAGTTCCTGTGTACCCCATATCCAGTTTTTGTCACAAAATTGAAATTGGATTATATTTTACAAACCAATACTATTTGTCATTTTATTTTAGATTTCTAAGAGCAGATAACATTGTAGATTTATGTTTTTAGTGGGAAGGTTCAATAGCATAAACATTACAAATCATCTCCAATAAATTTGTAATTTCAAGAAAAAATGCATTCATATCTTAAAATATTTTGCATCATAGAAAATCATATGGAAATAGTGCAGTTCATAAGAAATAATAAATGTAAAAATAGGACGGAAATGTTTGAACTCTAGTAAGAAGAAGACAGGGAGAGGGATGATAACAATGATGCTGGATCTTTGTAAAGCTACAGCAGTTCAGGCAGTGAGATACTAGTTAAGGGAACCTAAAAAAAAAAAAATCAAAATATATATGACATCTTGAAATGTTATTGGGGTGGCATTCCGAATCAGTGGGGGAAATGAAAGTGCATTCAATTCTACTCTGACATCCAGTTATCATTTTGGATTATTTTTGATGTATGGAGATTATTTCTACCAGCATAGGAAGGTAACTTGTGGGGAGAATAGGAAAAGGGATTGGAGTTAAGTCTTTAACTAAATCTATTTTTTACACACAAAAAAATCTCTGTATACACACACAGATTTATGAAATGTTTCCTAATTAAAAAAATGTAAACATTAAAAATAAATCATTGGAAACATCAAAATTCAGTTAGAAGTCCATTGTAACGATCGATTTTAATCTGAGATAAAATTGGAAAACAAATGCTATGCAAAGATGCTTACTGAAATCATAGACAGCAAAACAGCACCTTTAATAGATGATATGCCTGCATATTTTATTATTGTAGCACACTGAAGTATATTTAACTCTGTTGCTATTCATGACTTTAGTAACATAGGAATCATGAACCCTCTATTTCAAAGCATGAAATGTAGTTGCATATATTCTTGATTCATTATCAGAATATTAATTCCATGTTATTTAATTTAATAACTCAATAATCTTCACATCCATTATAATGAAATCTAAATGGAAATTAAACTTAGTATAATATTTGATCTTTTCTAATTATCTTTAAAAGGTCTCATTATATCAGTGACCTAACATTTTTATTTTTAAAGAAAATTATTAAAGT